GTGTGTAAGTAAAATAGAAAAGTTAAGGGGCCAAAATGTACATTGCAAGAAGTTAAGTGTGTGTAAGTAAAATATAAAAGTTAAGGGATCAAAATATACATTGCAAGAAGTTAAGTGTGCGTAAGTAAAATAGAAAAGTTAAGGGGCTAAAATGTACATTGCAAGAAGTTTAGTATGTGTAAGTAAAATAGTTAAGGAGCCAAAATATATTACAAGAAGTTAAGTTTGTGTAAGTAAAATATGAAAGTTAAAGGGTCAAAATACACATTGCAAGAAGTTAAATGTGCGTAAGTAAAATAGAAAAGTTAAGAGGCCAAAATGTACATCGCAAGAAGTTAAGTGTATGTAAGTAAAATAGAAAAGTTAAGGGGCCAAAATGTAAATTGCAAGAAGTTAAGTGTGTGTAAGTAAAATAGAATAGTTAAGGGGCCAAAATGTATATTGCAAAAAGTTAAGTGTGTGTAAGTAAAATATGAAAATTAAGGGGCCAAAATGTACATTTCAAGAAGTTTAGTGTGTTTAAGTAAAATATGAAAGTTAAGACGCCAAAATGTACATTGCAAGAAGTTAAGTGTGTATAAGTAAAATATAAAAGTTAAGGGGTCAAAATATATATTGTAAAAAGTTATATAATATAAGTTTGAAAATATCATTAAAATTTGATTATGTTTATACGCAATTAATTATACGAATTCAAAATTTGTTTATGTTTATCCGTAATTAATTATACGAATTCAAACTCGATAATTATTCTAATTATATTTTAGATTTTTTATATTTTAAAATAAGACGTTTATCTTCTATTTGATTATGTTTATCCGCAATTAATTACACGAATTCAAATATGGAGCTTTAATAAGTTGTACTTATACATAATTTACTTGTAATCTTGAATTTTAAGTAAATATGCATCAATAAACAGTAATTCGTGCATAAAAAATTGTTTTTAAGAGTTTTTGTCAAATACTTTATAATATAGTATAAATTCAAAATTTTTGTATAATCATTTAATTAAAATACTAATTATATTTAAGATAAATACAGTTAAAAGTAAAAATAAGGTATTCTATATTTTTATTAACAGTAAAAATAAGGTATTCTATATTTTTATTAACAAAATAAATAAATGGAAAAGAGGTTGTAGGAGTATGTTTTTTTCAAATCCCAAATTTATCCATAATATATTAGAATGGTGCTCGCATAAATATAACGTGATATATCTCAATTTAATGTTTTGTTTTATTATTTATCAATGTCGATATAATACGGTTTTTAGTGGTTTTGAGAAAGCGATAATGTTTTTATTTTTAAATAAAATATAAATTTAAATATATCATAAAAGTTTGGAAAACAAATATATCAATATTAGTATTAAATTTACTATTAAAAAGTTATGGTTTTTTGTGTAATTCCTTTAATTCAATATTTTATTTATAATTTAATTCAGATTTAGTAACGAAATAATTTATTTATCGTTTAATAATATAATTTTTATAAAGATAATAATTAAGTATTTTGTTATAAATAATGATTATCCTAATTATATTTTAGATTTTTTATATTCAAAATGAGATGTATATCCCGTATTTAATTATGTTTATCTATATTTAGTTACACAAATTAAAAAATGAAGTTTTAATAAATTGTATTTACGCACAATTTATTTATGATCTTAAATTTTAAGTAATGTACATCACTAAACAGTACTTTATACATAAAAAATGATTTTTAAGAGTTTTTGTCAAATATTGTATAATATAGTATATATAACAAATCAATACCCTATTCATAACTAAGGATTAAATGATTAAGATTGGTTCTCTAGTTTTCAAAATATTTATAATTATGATTTAGACTCTTTTGCATTTATATGTAGGATTGTATAAACACACATGTTTATATATATATGTATATGGAATTCTTATGAAATTAAAAATCAAACCACAAGTCTTACAACAAATTATAATTTAACAATGTCCGCTTTACATGATATGATATGATATGATTTTTTTTTGTTCTACATTCTTTAAATTATGAAAGCACAAATTTACACACCCGGACGTATAACGACTTTACCACCCGACAGACTGTCTGCATATACAAACATGACACACAAATTATCATGACATGATTATCTTACAAATTCTCAACTCTCTTCGTCTTCTTTGTAGTGTAGTCCAGGGTCCAAATGGCTGCATAATCCACACCAACAATGAACAACTACTACCATTTGCCTCCTTTCATTTTGGTTTACAGGAAGTAACTTAGTTGTTCTTTCTTTCTTAAACCTCCTTCCCCATACAATTCATTCCACTGTTTTAGCTCACCCATTATACATCCCTCACTAGCAAAACTAGCAGCCACCTGTCATCATTTATTACAATTCAGATCCTTAACCACACAGGAAAAGGAAACATGGTGATTCTACTTGAAACAACTTGAAAGTATGGCTAAAAAGTGAAGCGGAATGGAGAGATGTCTTATAATTACTAGCTACGGTAAGGGGGTGTTTGGGATTGTTTATTTGAAACAACTTATACTTTTCTACGAAAACACTTATCAACTTATTATAAGTTATAAAGGTTTAACTTCTTCAAAAACTCCTTATTACCGGTTTGACACCGGTATAAGTTGTTTATCCAAATACTCAAAAGTGTTTACTACCGGTATAAGTCAATAAGTTGTTTTTATAAGCAATCCCAAACACCCCTAAGAAGAAGAAGAAGCAGGAGATTGAGATAGAAAACAGCATATAATAATAATAAGAGGAGGGATGAAACTGTAATATATTTACTTGATTCTTTGCCTGCCTCATATCTTCCATGTTTAGAGGCCTCAGGTTAATAACTCTTTCGCTTTCTTCTTTTGTCTCTTTGGCTTCATCACTTCCCTTCTTGTCCTTTGAAATCAGAAAAATTCAAAACAAAATCAAGTTGTATCTCAATCTGAAAAATGGTTAATGTGCTTTTGGGAAAATAACGACAGATTGGGGGAGAAACGGAAATAAAAACACCAAGTAACAACTTACGATATCTTTTTGTCTCTCTTGCTGCATTAGTTCTCGCACGGGTCGATATGCTGCTGTTACACACAAATTCTGTTTCAGTAGTTAATGCCAACTCTCGTTCCTGATTTCTTATACATATCCAGGTCAATAAGGCGGTGTAGAAAAACAAACCTTAAGATCACTTCCGCTATATCCCTCTGTCATCATTGCAAGCTCCTTAAAGTCCAACTCTTCTACCTTTTCTTTTGCCAGCAGAGTTTTCAAGATCGTTTCTCTGTTATCCACCGATGGTAGACCCACCATAATTCTGTACGTGGAACCCCATTAGATTATAATCAGATATTCCAAAAAGATCCCTTTCCAACATATATATATTCGAGAGAAATGGGACTCTGGATTGGAAAAGGAAGAAGCAAGTGTAGATACCTGCGCTCAAACCGTCTAATAATGGCTTCATCAAGGTCGAATGGTCTATTGGTGGCTGCAAGGACAAGAATGCGTTCCCCTGGTTTAGTTAGCAATCCATCCCAATGTGACATGAACTCGTTCTTTATTTTTCGCATGGCTTCATGTTCGCCTACTCTTGTTCGCTGTCCTAGCATGCTATCAACCTCATCCACAAAGATTATAGTTGGAGAAACCTTTGCTGCAAGCGTGAATAGAGCTCGCACGTTTTTCTCATCTTCACCAAACCATTTTGAAGTGATGGTTGACATTGAGACATTGATGAAGCTTGCTCCTGCTTCATTAGCAATTGCCTTTGCCAGCATGGTTTTCCCGGTTCCTGGTGGTCCGAAGAGCAATATGCCACGACAAGGTTTAAGAAGGCCACCGTTGAAAAGGTCCGGTCTTCGAAGAGGAAGCATAACCAACTCCTGTAGGGACTCCTTTATCTCATCAAGGGCTCCAATATCTGAAAAAGTTACTCCGATCTCATTGGCGGGGATAACCTCTGGCCTTATGCGCTTTTCAAATTCGTTGTCAGGAGGACCTTCCTGGTGAAGTGGTGAGAAATATGAAATTTGGGGAAGAAAACCAAACCAAACAAAAAAACCCAATATATCCCGCTCCCGCTTGAAAGTGGAGACTGAAATGTGGAATTTATACAGTCTGACCTCTATCTCGATGCCTAACTCCCTACTTCCTACCCACTAACTATAGATCTACTACCCTAGTCCTGTTTATATTAAAGCATAGGTCATGTACTCCTCCAAGGCCCCACTACAGCAACACTATATACCCTACTAGAAGAAAACTAAGAATTGGTTCTTCTGGGCGATGGATATTATATCCCAAGATAACAAAACCTCATAATTTTCGAATTGCTGGTATGAATTTGATTACATATTCGTTTCAATCCGTTCTTCTCTTTTAAAGATGGTAACATATAGACGTACCGCTTTTGGAGGAACTGATTTTTCTGCCTCATTTTTGTTTGATGCAACACTTTCTTCCCCTTCCGGTCCCTAGAGGAATTATGAGATGAAAGAAGCATGATGTATCGTGGCAAGAATGAAATTTTCACCAAATCATATACGTTTACAACGAAATGCTAATGTCTGCAACAAACCTTGGATGAGTCGGCATTTGTCTCCAGCTTTAGAGTATCTTTTCCACCACAATACCCCTCTTGGAAGATGTTCAATCCATGTGACAAACTGCAGTAAGATCAGTGATCAGACAAAATTTGTATCATTCTAATATATGCCGAATGTGGGACAAACAAGTTTTCTTTTTCCGTCATATCTAGTGTACCAACACACCCGAGGGTGTCTGGGAGAGGAAAGCACAAAAGGTGATAGGAAAGAACCTGGTAGATGATATGACGAGCTTTCCATTTCGATATTCTGGATCTTTGTTACTCATCAAATGATAAGAGATTGCAGAGACCACGATTTCTTCTATGTAATTACTGATAAACATTGTGTCTGCGTGACAAATTGAACCTAAGTCATCACACTCAAGATCGTTTGCTGCTAACACCTCAGCAATATGGTTTTTGTTATCTTGAAACTGGATCTTCTTCATGTTCTCTTCTAATTGTTCTTTCCAGTCGATGAGATGATACTCATCTTCAGGTGGTTTGATTTCAATATTGTAAGGAAATAAGCAGCCAATTTTCTCACTGACTTCCCCACATTCATTATTTGGGTCCAACATCCGCGAACCAAGAACTAATGTTGATCCCGACAGTTTCTTCAACATTTTATCAAACAATTTATATGTCCGCGGTGATTGAAGAAACCTCTCTACATCCCTGATATAGAGAATGATGCCGGTTGTTTCGGAGAAAGAGACTAAAACCTGCAAGTGGTGATGTTGGAGGTTAGGACCTTGGTAGGTTATATAATTAGCCGGGAAAAAAATGCATTCAAGTAACTTCAGGGAATGCCTCATTTTCTCTATGTAAATATGGTTTAGTTGTAATGGCCGAGCCCAAAGCAGCTGGCTCCCAATGCCCAATAAACCTCCAAATGAACTTAAAAAGCATGACAAAAGTTATTGCCTTATTGGTAACCACAACTTTGAATAAGTTCATAAATCTATTTTTCTATCCACATGGGACAGGTTGTTACACAAGCCGTGAGTGAAATTTACCTTGTATAGTGCCTGCAAAAGAACTCTTTCATCAAAAGGACAGCTGCCCACACGCTTGAGAGAAGCTAATAGGAGTAAACATAATTCAAAAGATTAGTAACATATGTATACATTGTTCACTTTCAACTGTCACATTAAAATGTATCTTCAGGTTTTTATGCATCGAAAGACACATATGCTAGTAGGAGGATGTGGGTGCCTCTAATAATCCCCAAAACCAACATTCCTCAATGATCAAAAGATTTTGGTTTCTAGTTCTCATTGTCATTAAAGAGACACATTTAATCATTAAGTCAACCTGCATAATGAACTCATACTTCATGGACATTAGTTATTTAAGATGTTAGCAGTCATTTCCCTCCAATCTTGATATTTATCGATTAATGATAGAATGGAAGATCAAAACACCAACCTAAACTTGAAGAAGGGCACTGGGAATTGATAGCACTTGTATCAGAAGAAGCAGAGGCGTTCCTATGGTGCTTTGGAAAATAATTTGTGCTTTCTGTACTCCTGCAAGGTTTATAATAAAATTCACCTTATCAACTATAGCCAATAATATATATTTGATGAGATGATGTTGGTTTGGCAACCATACCTGGATTTGGCAGCTGAGCCACTGCTTTGCTTAGATGAAGCTCCTGAAAGTTTCCAGCCAACCGAATCGTATGAAGTTGTTAAAAGGAATACCAAAATAAGTAAATACCAAGTAACTAGACTAGTATTTCAGTAGTGTCATATTTAGCAAAGGCAAATCCCCAGATGCCATCAAATTTACCACCAAACTTACTACAATTTCTTTTTATAGAGAAAACATAAGAGTTAAGACACTTTCTCTCCGCTCATAATCACTTTCTTTTAAGAGAAGGAAAAAATGGTGAATTTAATAGGATCCATTGATTTACTCATTCAGAATAGTATCTTATATTGCTAATTGAAATATAAGGAAAGAAACCATGAGTTAAAAAAGAGCAGGCTTGCCTGTAAATGAACAAAATTTTATTGAATTTACTTGAATTGATTTCTTAACATTTAGAAGGTATTCAACCAGTCTTTTCCTTTACTTAACACGACTAACCAAATGTCAAATAATTTCACAAAATTAGGTCCTTAAAAATACAACTTATTAGTTATGTTTCCTCAATTGCATGTGGTATGACAATTCATGTTTGTATCTCTTAGAACACTCTTTTACTCTTTGAGGAAAAATGAAGTAACATCCATCCTGCTGAAATGTCATCTTATACTTGAAAATTAGCATGGGTAGAACCTTTTAGTTAAAATTATGATTGAAATGTAACCACTTCCTACAGAATATCGACACCAATCGTGGCAATGGATATGGTTTAACAATGGGTAACTAGTTATTTATCTTCTTGAATTCGGACAAGGAAATTAAGCATGGCTTATCAAGGATAAAGTAGAAAGAAACAAATCCACTAAGAAAGTGTTGGTGAGTTGTTGAAGTAGTATCAAGTATTTGTCCTACAGGCCAAAACCTCAGGTTTATCAAGATACATATATGTATATATGTGGTTTGGGCACACTTCTCCTTTGAGCTAGTTTTTGGGAGTAAATTCTACTTAAGTCCATTTATCATGCTATTAGAGCAAGTTTTCACAGGCGAAGTTGGAAATTGCATTTATTTGTATTTGTCCTGCATCGCCAAGTTGTCAAGATACATACATATATTAGTTTGGGAACCCTCCTCTTTTGAGCTAGCTTTTACGAGTGAGTTCTATCCAAGCCTGTTTATCACACATCATAAATGACAAAAAACGTGTACATTCTATCATACCTCCACCATCTTCCTTTGCTGTGGAGAACGATCCAAGTAAAGTGGACATCCGCTCCATTGCCATGTCAGAAATAGACCTTTTGACAGACTATACAAGGAGGAAACTATATATCAGACCATATTATATGTTTAAAGTTCAAACAAAATCATAAATACTAGTTAGGTTCTTAAAACAATAAAAGTTCCCCTTGAAAGCTAAACGAAAATCCTACAAGAATGGATAAGCAAATATGACGCTACAGATAAATTATTCTCCACTTATATCTATCTTACAATTTTGCTTACAAGAATTCATGATGCAATTTAATCTTGAAGAAATTAAGAATATAAGAGCAACCCTTCTGGGTAAATTACGTTGAACTTACAGAGTCTTTCTTAGATGTACCATACTTGCTCTGCATCTGTGGGTAAATACCAAACATTAATACAAGGTAGTAAATTCTGAGCTTGGAGAAAGTATTACAAGTCTAGAAATCACCTTTACAGAAAAGTCTACGATGTCCAACAATAGTAGTTTTGCTTCAAAGTCATGTGACAGAGCCTTTGCAAGCTTTTGGTGGTAAAATTCTTCATAGGATAACATATAGAAGATAATAAATTTAATCAGGCCACAAATGAGGCATAACATATTTGAATGTGGAAGAGATTACTTACCAGCTTGTCCTGAGAGCAATATAGCCCTACTTGCAGGCGAAAGATTTCGGGTATGCTTAGAAACATCCAAGTGTTTCAAATGAACATATGCTGCACTTGTTAATAACACCCGAGTCTGTTCGCTGGCATTGTATTTAACAAAAAGAGGAAGGTGGGATAGTTAGTTTGGTACAAAAATATACGTTAGACTGAAATCCTAACCAACAACTTCAACAGGATAGTGTTTCGACCTAAGAAGCTGCTTTCAGACTTGCAATAACCGAATTTTGAAGTGGAATATACCACTTCCAAAATTGATTCTCTTTGAAATGGTGGGAGTAGTGATTATATGGAATGTACTCCATGAATACTAGATAATCCTAGGAGATTAGGCGGATATTTGACCGTGAATACATGTTCTTTCACAGACAATTGCACATTCATTATCAAAACGTCGTTTTTAGACCACAATCTCAAAACAAAACTTTTGCAAAATTGATAAATCTAACTTCAAACGTTTGAAAATTTAAAAATCAAAAGCTAGTTTCGAGAACAAATTGATCGTCAACAGTGCTGAATTACAGCTACAGCAGTATTCTCATTACATATTGAAACTTAAACATAACTCAGTAAACCTATTAACATTAAGTAGCAAAAAGAATCACCTGATGTAATAAGGGAATTCCTTAAGCGTGATCTTGTCATCTTTTCCATCGACGATGAGCCTGAGAAGTTCCTGCTCAATTTGCGCCGGTGTGACGCCTTCTTCCAAACCACCGCTAGTCCATTTGTTTACTCCAAGCCCTACTCCTACGCCTACACCAACGCTCAATGCCGACAACAAAATGTGCTTCTGCTCCATCTCTCTAAATCTTTACCTGATCCAATGTTTCAATCTCGCCGATCTCTGTTCCAAATCATTCAAAATACGATACGGCGGCCAACATAATCAAATCCGTGCCATGGAAAACGGGAAGAGATCTGCAAATTAAGGCTTTAAGAATGCGTCTGTGTGTAAAGAGAGAAGATATAGATATAGATATTTGTACGTATATATATATAGAGAGAGAGAGAAGGTGAGTTGTATGTGTTTTAATTGGCGGAACACAAAGCAATTCCATTGTTGACTTTCTGACTTTCACACGCTGACTGGATTTTGGTGGGAACCTCTGTTTCTGTTATCTCCCGTGTCCAAAAAAATTCTGTTATGTTAGTGTTCAAAATATTATATCAAATTAATAATTTAAAATTTTTCATTTTTTATATAATTTATTTGATTTAATTTTTTAATTATAACTTAATTTATAAAACTAGAAAAGTACTCGCGCAATGTAGAGACACATCTCGATTTTAATGTTTTATTTCATTATTTGTTTTCATCGATGTTATAATTCGATTTTATTTGTTTTTAAGAAAACAATAATAATTTTATTTTTAAATAAAATATAAATTTGATAAAAATATATCAATATTAATATCAAATCAACTATTTAAAATTTCTCATTTTTTCAATGTTAATATCATTTTTTTATGGTAATTTCTTTAATCTTTTTATGATGGTTCTTCCTTCTAATAATCAACATATCTATGATTATCTACTCCCAGATGAAGCAATAAGAATTAAATATATTAGCTATTTTTGTCCATTCTCCATAAATGTTATGAACGATAACGGAACTTTACTCTAAAAATAATTAAGTTTGTATTTGTTGGATCCGGATTTTTATTGCTTTACTATTATTGGGTGTCGGAGAAATAAAGGGGGTGTTTGATTGAGGCAGATGAATGAAAATAAAAATGAAATTTCTATTTCCCTCAGTTTAACCTGTAATTATAATTTGGGTTTAGAGGAATGAGTCCATTATATTATATAAAATCAAACAATTTCTTTTAGTTTCATTCTCATTGATTACTGTTTAATATCTCCAACCAAATACCTGCTAAAAGTTTAAGAATTACGATGAATTTTAATAAGACTTTACCTAAAAAGTTTGATGGAGAAATTTTTGAGGGGCTAAAAGAAACTTGAAAAGCAAGTGTGAGCGTTAAGAGCACTTATCAATGATAAACAATACTAATTAATGCAACTAGAAAGTAAACAAATGGTAGTAATTCGTTTAGTTTATTGTTATAATCTAATGAATTTTAAAATTTTATTATATAAAATACAAGAGTGATGTCTGATTGGTTTGAGCTTGGTTTCAAATGTCTAAAGTACCAGGAGGCACATGTTAAAATCCAAGGAGGAATACAAATTCTCTTGTGGTCACGGAGGTTAAAATACTGTGAGTCCGGGCTATCTGCAAAGCAGATGGTCATCCTGGGATTAGTCGGCTCGCATAGCGGATTGGATATCCAGGTTAATCAAAAAAAATTATATTATATAATGATCATATAAAAATTAAAACAATTTTTAATAAAAAGAAAAATCTAAAGTTTGTGAAGTATTTTGCTGTATAAGTAAGGATCAACTTTTGTTATGTATTTACAAATATCTGTTAATTAGTTTTATAAAGTTCAAAAATAGAGTTTCAAAAGGTTGCGTAAATTAAAGTATCTGCAACAGTATAAAGCCTTGTTTCATGTGTCTGTTTAACTTTTAAGCAGTGAGAAGTACTGCTTCCTTAATCCTTACCATCATGAAAGAGAGAATGCTCCTTGCAAACGGGATATTAAAGTAAAAAGTGATTACAACTTCATTATTATGATATAAATTAACAATAAACTGCATGATTAAATGAGTTTGCACTAGATGTAACTGTAGTCTTAGTAATCAGCCCAAATATGCCTGTTCTATACCAACGTACTATTTCGGATGAATGGGGAATTAAGTCGCTCTTTGATCTGCAGAATAAGGCCTACGAGCTCTCTCTTTTCTTTTATGGCAGAGATCTGTCCAGCTATGGAGCTAAACCAGTGAATTATTACGCTTTCTTTAAAGCATGGTTGCTTCCAAGCACACCCTTTTAATTGTCATCACTCGATCACTTCCTTTCCGACCAATTGATTACTTAGGGACCATTCTAAGTACCTCTCTTGGGAAGAACATCCTTCAGCTAGCCTTAAAGCATCCAGCTCCTTGACTTTCCACGTAATTTAGAAGAAAAAAAATGAAACATAACCATTTGGATGTCTTTCGGTTTGTCACATGGAAAATTTGAGCGCTCCAAATTTCTACTCGCATCCAAATTTCCGACCTTTTTACACATCAAGGATCATATCCCGCACAACCAAATCCGTATATGCCCACTTACTTACATACGACAACCCGTGCTAGTATGCCATACGAGGAGTCTGAGATTTCAAAAACTTATGCTAAAAGAAACTTAGAAAAGATAAATCTTGACGAAAACAATGAGCAAATAAACTGGGAGCAGTAAACAAAGACAAATGAAGCTAATTGAAGATGAATTCCTTGTCAATGCTTGGCTCAATGTTTCCACCGACAACGTGACTAACAACAATCAGCAGATAAAGATTTTGGAGACGGATCTCCAAGTACCACAATAACAATCGCAGTTCATTTATTGAAAGAGAAGCAAACATCTTGAAGTCTCATTGGTGTAAGATAAATTATCAAGTATATGCTTTCAACCAATGTTTTTGTTTGTAATTAATGAATGAATGTCATGGTAGATGGTCGAATGACCAAGTGATGGAAAAAAACTCGTGAATATTTGTTGGGTTTTTTTCGGTTTCAACATGTTTGTTCACCTTGATAAAGGGGTTGTTTGTTTACCTCTTAATAGTTTCATTAAGAAGCAATATTTGAATCGTTAAGAGGTAAATCTTGTTTGGTAAAAAAAAGTCTACCTCTTAATGGTTCTAAAACTCTCTGAATGATTTTATATCATGGGTCTCCTTAACCATCCAGCGCCCTAATTTCATTTTAAATAATTATCAAACAATTATATTTCATTTTACATTATATCATGAGAGCCTCTTAATCATTCTGACCGCTTATTCATTCTGCACTAAACCATTCAGCAACTGTCAAACAGCCCCGTCCAAAGATATATTTGTTTAAAATGTCCAATAACTTTAAAATTTAGAAATTTGTTGGATTTTTTTATCGCCTTCAATGTTTACAATACGCTTAAGATACTCCGTCAGGTTGAGATGCAAGAAGGATGAGCGTAAAGGGAAGGGGTTGTGGAATGTGAATAACACGGGGTGTCATTTCGAGCATGTCATGAAACGACATTTTTTGAGCCGTATGCAGTAAAAATATTCTATTTGTAGAAGTTGTAAATGTTTAGTACTATAAGGGAACCCAAACAATTTAAACATATCGTAAAAAAATTAAATATGTATACGTCAAATTAAAGACATTATTTATTTGATAACAAATTATAAAGGAGAAAAATATTGGATAACGATCTCCTGTTTCAAATTCTCGCATTTTATTTATGTCTACTAATTACATTAATACATTTTTATCAAAGAGAGAATGTGAACTTGAATAAAATAAATTTAAAATATATAAAAATAAGATTTGTTTTAATTTTATTGGTTAAAGAAGAATAAAGACGTATGATTTTGTAGGCAAATTATCGTGTGAGAATAAGAGTTAAAGTGAGATGTGTGTATATTAATATTTCTCAAGTTTCAACTAAGCTAGAAAACAGGAAACATAATGACCAGTATGACCTTAATTTAGATCTCGATTCTCCAGCGTTGAATAACTGCCATGTCAGCATGACATGTAACGTGTGGAATTACACGCAAGCCACTTTAGCTTTTCACACTTTCCACGTGTCACACGCCTCACCGTAACTTTTTTTATTCCCCATATATTATTATTATAAAAAAATCTATTATTTTAAATCTTTGGTTTTGTTAAGCAATTTAACAAAATACTAAATTAATAATTAATTACTTAAATCATTTAAAAAACATGAATGTCGTAATCAATTTCACAAACAATTTGTAATGATTATTAATAAATGAATATGGAAGTTTTAGAACATATATTTAAAAAACCATTATATTGTTTAAGCATCAAATAAATCATTATAATTTTTGTTAAATCCTAAGTACAATAAAATTTGTTTTTTTTTATTAACCTGTATATCAAACCCGTTATACGAGCTGACTAATGTCAAGGCGACGGGGAGTCACCATATTTGAACCTCCGTGGACACGATGAGATTTTTATTCCTCCTTAGAATAAAATTTGGGATTAACCTGTACAATAAATTTTTTTATTCAAACTTGGGATTTCCAGACATTTTTTACCTTTGAAGTCCAAGCTCAAACCAATCGGGTTCCACCCTTGTGGTTATAAAATTTGTTTTTACAACTATACTGTAAAAATGTGGGCTAAATGAACCCTCACATAAAGCTAAATACAATTCTATCTACTAATTTTCTCTTTACGCACATCAACATTAAAACATACATTTTCAATTTCCAATACATGACTTAATTCTAATATTAAAATGAGTATTCATAGCAATACCCTAAAAAAAATCCTATAATTTTAACTTTTACGTGTTTGACATAACGTCCGAAAACCTGATTCAATAAATGTTGAATCTTCACTTGTTTAAAAAGGGAATGTTATTTGTACATTTTTTATGTCAGGTTCAAGTTGATTCATACATTGAGAATGTAAAAAGTAAGTCATGATGTTAATGTATATAAGAAATAAATTTATAAATAAATATACATTTAACAATATATCACTTTAAAACACTTACTTTAAATTCAAATATGTAATTGGTTGACATATTAACTATAATAAATAGTAGTAACAAATAATTAATATTTACTTATGTTTCATTTAAAATTTAAATTTAAAAAATAAATATTAATATAAATATTATTTTACATAGTTAGTCATACAGACTATTAAGTTTTTTTTAATTAATCTGGATATTCAACTCGTTATGCGAGCCGACTAATTTTAGGATGACCAGCTGCTTTGCAGATAGTCCGGAGTCACCGCATTTGAACCTTCGTGGCCACAAGGAGATTTTTATTTCTCATTGGATTTAAACT